AAGGATAAGACACGAGATCTTCGGAAAATTTATTTTTCCTTGATTTTGGAGTCAGTTTTTCAATAAATATCACATGTCATACCTCAAACGATGCGTACTGTTGTTACCTTCAACTCCAATCACTAAAGCCAAACATCCAAGAAAGCGTCTGTTGATAAAAGCATAAAATAAGCGAGCGTATATTTAATGGAGCACTTCGGCTATCTCCGTTGTTCAAATGATTATTCCCGAAGTCAAATGCCTTTTCTGAGAATGTGACGCCACTCCGGATGACGTCACATCAGAGATTACCGAGAAGTCCCATGACGTTTCTTTAAACTCCCGTAGAAACAATAACGACGGTTTATTAGGCTACGCGATTCTTTACTTTCATTGGCTGTTTGTTGCGATGTGACGTAATTTGAGAGACGAACAACATCGGACACTGCCGGAAATTACCGAAGTGCTCCATTATCTTTACGCTCTGAAAATTTGAAATAAATGTCCCGGGAAAAGTCGAATTACAGCGTCAATAATGGATATCATGCAACCATTCAAACTAATACATAAAGAAGAGATTACAGGGTAAATATTGATCAATCAATGTCTGACAGATGGAAAAAATAAAGGTCAGTACGAGGGTCATATTTTTGGGTGGTCATTTTTTTGATGTGCCATTTTTGGCTCGTGTCTCATCTTCCCATTTATCCTTTGAGCCTACTACCAACAGGGGCTGGATCTGGCTCCGGATCTGTGGATTAATTGAATTTACCTGTACTTAGTCGATTCATCTCGGGTGGAATAAGAGGTACGTTATATAATTGATTTCACCTGTACTTATGCCTGGGTCACATTTACCCCAATTCATCGGCCAGCGCCCAGCCAATTGAGTATCCTGTTCACAATTGTATTCAGTTTTAAACAGAACACTCAATAGATGAATCGGAGCAAATGTGACCGAGGCTTAGTAGATTCATCTCGGGTGGAATAAGAGGTAGTATAGGTTATATAATTGATTTCTTTTTGTCATGACTAAACATGTTAAGAAAATGAAAAAAGTTCATATCTTATTATAAAGGAAGTCCATATAACAGTACGTTTGAACATAAATGTGATAATGGTATGTGTTCATCAAGTGTTTCTTGTTTAGTTTAAAGCTACCAAAGTTAATTAGATGTATTATTATTAGTCTTGCTTTGAGCCCTTGTGACCCTCCCTGACATACACAACTCACATATTCACCACCACTGTAACATTGGAGAGGAACGAAGTAGACGGGGCAGGGGGGATAAAGTGCATGAAGAGGGGGGGGGGGTTCCAGTCACTCAAGGCAAACTTACACAGTGCCAGAATTTGACTTACTTCGTATTTATAGTTTTAAGTTGAAATCAACGTTACAATGATTCACCTGGATAAATCATCATTAAGTTTAGAAATGATATCATCGTGATGGTTTTTATCCACCTATGTTAGTTGCAAATCAGAAATCAGTTATCTTTCAGATAATTAATTTGTTAATGTTCATCGTTAATTGAAATGCCATTGGGACTGACCAAAAGTGTTCTGATTTGCAGGTGTTCACATTTCAAGTTTTTTTTAGTATTGCAGTATTGGCAGATTAAAAATGGGACTGAAAAGTGTTCAAATTTAGAGGTCTTTGGACTAGAGAGGTGTTTGAATAGGTTTCACTGTATCAACATCATTTTTCCCCCAGTTAAGATCATGAGGCAGTACATTGTAGACAGCCATATTGGGAATCTATTGAGTAAAATTATATTGTTGGCCATACTAGACATCCAACTTGTTATTCATATTAGACAGCTAACTTGTCAGCCATATTAGACAGCCAACTTGTTAGCCACATTAGACAGCCAACTTGTTAGTCATATTAGACAACCAACTTGTTAGCCACATTAGACAGCCAACTTGTTAACCATATTAGACAGTCAACTTGTTAGTCATATTAGACAGCCAGCTTGTTAGCCATATTAGACATCCAACTTGTTATTCATATTAGACAGCTAACTTGTTAACCATATTAGACAGCCAACTTGTTAGTCATATTAGACAACCAACTTGTCTGCCATATTAGACAGCCAACTTGTCAGCCATATTAGACAGCCAGCTTGTTAGCCATATTAGACATCCAACTTGTTATTCATATTAGACAGCTAACTTGTCAGCCATATTAGACAGTGAACTTGTCAGCCATATTAGACAGCCAGCTTGTTAGTCATATTAGACAGTCAACTTGTTATTAACCTTATAAGACAGCCAACTTGTTAACCATATTAGACAGCCAACTTGTTAGTCATATTAGACAACCAACTTGTCTGCCATATTAGACAGCCAACTTGTCAGCCATATTAGACAGCCAGCTTGTTAGCCATACAAGACAGCCAACTTGTTAGTCATATTAGACAACCAACTTGTTAGCCACATTAGACAGCCAACTTGTTAACCATATTAGACAGCCAACTTGTTAGTCATATTAGACAACCAACTTGTCTGCCATATTAGACAGCCAACTTGTCAGCCATATTAGACAGCCAGCTTGTTAGCCATATTAGACATCCAACTTGTTATTCATATTAGACAGCTAACTTGTCAGCCATATTAGACAGCCAACTAATGTTAGCCATATTAGACATCCAACTTGTTAGTCATATTAGACAGTCAACTTGTCAGCCATATTAGACAGCCAACTAATGTTAGCCATATTAGACATCCAACTTGTTATTCATATTAGACAGCTAACTTGTCAGCCATATTAGACAGCTAACTTGTCAGCCATATTAGACAGTCAGCTTGTTAACCATATTAGACTGCCAACTTGTTAGCCATATTAGCCAGCCAACTTGATAGCCACATTAGACAGCCAACTTGTTAACCATATTAGACAGCCAACTTGTTAGCCATATTAGACAGCCAACTTGTCAGCCACATTAGACAGCCAACTTGTTAACCATATTAGACAGCCAACTTGTTAGCCATATTAGACAGCCAACTTGTCAGCCAAATTAGACAGTCAACTAATGTTAGCCATATTAGACAGCCAACTTGATAGCCATATTAGACAGCTAACTTGTCAGCCATATTAGACAGTCAGCTTGTTAACCATATTAGACTGCCAACTTGTTAGCCATATTAGCCAGCCAACTTGTCAGCCATATTAGACAGTCAACTAATGTTAGCCATATTAGACAGCCAACTTGATAGCCATATTAGACAGCTAACTTGTCAGCCATATTAGACAGTCAGCTTGTCAGCCATATTAGACAGTCAACTTGTCAGCCATATTAGCCAGCCAACTTGTCAGCCATATTAGACAGTCAACTAATGTTAGCCATATTAGACAGCCAACTTGATAGCCATATTAGACAGCTAACTTGTCAGCCATATTAGACAGTCAGCTTGTCAGCCATATTAGACAGTCAACTTGTCAGCCATATTAGACAGCCACATTGGGAAGCCATTGGGTACAATATAGTTAACCATATTAGACAGCCAACTTGTTAGTCATATTAGACAGCCAACTTGTTAGCCATATTAGACAATCAACTTGTCAGCCATATTAGACAGCCAACTAATGTTAACCATATTAATTAGACAGCCAACTTGTTAGGCATATTAGACAGCCAACTTGTTAGCCATATTAGACAATCAACTTGTCAGCCATATTAGACAGCCAACTTGTTAGTCATATTAGACAATCAACTTGTTAACCATATTAGACAGTCAACTTGTCAGTCATATTAGACAGCCAACTTGTTAGCCATATTAGACAGCCAACTTGTTAGCCATATTAGACAGCCAACTTGTTAGCCATATTAGACAGCCAACTTGTTAGCCATATTAGACAGTCAACTTGTCAGTCATATTAGACAGCCAACTTGTTAGCCATATTAGACAGCCAACCTGTTAACCATATTAGACAGCCACATTGGGAAGCCATTGGGTACAATATAGTTAGCCATATTAGACAGCCAGCTTGTTAGTCATATTAGACAGCCAACTTGTATACTATAGACATCCATATTGGGAAGCCATATCATTATACACCCATATACAAGTACCGGGCATGAAGAATTCATAATAGTACATGTTATATAACATATATCTAAATGTGCTCTTTATCATTATCAGAATGGAAGTGTTAATATGAATTAGCACTATGCCTGATTCAATGTCTATTGTCTATGCATTTCATTTGAAAATATATTAATGGTAAATGTTGGATGTCATTTGTAATCATTGTCTAGAACAACTGCAAGGCACTCTTGGATTTCATGACACCAGAGACTTGGATTTCATGACACGAGACACTTTTGGATTTCATGATACCAGACACTCTTAGATTTCATGACATAAGACACTCTTGGATTTTATGACATAAGAAACTCTTGGATTTTATGACATAAGACACTCTTGGATTTTATGACATAAGGCACTCTTGGATTTTATGACATGAGACACTCTTGGATTTTATGACATAAGACACTCTTGGATTTCATGACACCAGACACTCTTGGACTTCATGACACAAGACAGAGAGAAAGAACATAAATCAGAACTTCGCGAGGCTCAATTGATATAAAAGAAGGTAAAATCAAGTATGAACTTATTTGTATAAATGTCAAGTCTTATGATTAATGTTCAAAAGCGATACCACAATGACATTTAATATCAAGTAAATCAGGAAATTATTTTTTCAGGAAATTAGGTACTGTATCAGTGTAATGTATTGAATTAATGAAACATATCAGGTTTGTATATGCTTTTAACATGTTAATATGTTTCCTCATGTAAATGTTTTATACTGATAGATCATGTCATCTTGTTTTCTTAAGTCAGTCGCCGAGTTGTACTTTAACCAATGATGATTCAACAGATACAGTGTTTTACGTAAATGACGTCATTGTGATGTGTTTGTAGTAATTGTTACAACTGGAAGGTTATCATCTGTTATTAATGAATATTTCCTGCTTGTACAGTGATATTTTATTTCTCTGTGTTTTCAGGCTTTAGTGGGTTATATTCCAATGGGTCATTGCTTGTCATGTTGCGAGGAACAGCGTCTCGCCCAATACAATGGCCAGGCAAAGAACGCCCCTGTGTCTCGACCCTTGAACAAACCAGCCAATAAACAATCATATTACGAGGACCATAAACACGCTCCACCTCCGTCATATACTGAGAGTTCAGATAGTTTACAGTCAGAGAGAACTCAGAAAGGAATGTTTAATCCCTATCCAAAGTTACCACCTATACGGACTAAATCTGCACAAAATGGCGACTCAAAACGGCAGTCAATGAGTAGTGGGTTTTCCGAGGCGAAAATTGTCGCTTTATTCGAACGCTATAAAGATCCTGAAGAGGATTGTATTCTGGCTGATGGCATAGAAACTTTCTGTGCAGACTTGGATGTAAGGCCGGAAGAATTTAGAGTTCTTTTGCTCGCTTGGAATTTTCAAGCTGCCACAATGTGTAAATTCACCCGTGAAGAGTTCACCAATGGATGTAGAACTCTAAAAGTGGATTCCATAAAGGGTATTCAGGGAAAATTCCCAGAAATGTTGACTGAAATCCAGGATAAACAAAGCTTCAAAGATCTGTACCGCTGGACATACAAGTTTGGATTAGATGTTGATACGGGTCAAAGAACTTTACCCGTAGAAATCGCCATTAGTCTTTGGAGTTTAGTTTTCTCTATTCACACACCACCTATACTAAAACGCTGGCTAGATTTTCTTGATAAACACCCATCAATACGAGGAGTGCCCAAAGACACGTGGGATATGTTTTTGAATTTTTCTGACTCAATTGGTAGTGACCTCAGTTCTTATGATGATACCGAAGCTTGGCCTAGTCTATTTGATGATTTTGTGGAATATGAAAATGATAGAGTCAATCAGAATGTCCTTGATGATGACCCAATGGAATAAATGATGTCCCAAAGTGCCTGAAGGGCATTGCATGTAAGCATCTCTGCAGTGGATCAATTAGATCAAGATTTATGTATCATGTACATGTTTTAATATTCTACAAATGATTACGAGCAGTTGGAAATCACCAGTTCCCCATCTAATCAACATGACATACAGCGAAACAGTGAATATTTGATGTAGTTATTATCATGGCTGACATTATATGTGCATTTCATTCGCCTTGATGATAAATTATGACACCGTTTGAATAAATTCAGAAAGTATGTAGGTGTGTAGGCACATTATTCAATCGAACAGCTGTATCAACATCTTTAAGTATATTTCAAATGAACGATTATCCTTATTATTGATTGGATCAAGTTCTCAATAATATGTCATGGCTGTCTTGCTAAATTTTTTTATTCAAATTTTTATTCCGAAAAACAAGACACCTATAAACGTTTGACATACCAATACATAAGTACAGAAAAACTTGAATTATTAAAGACTACAGATTATTTTTATTATATCATGTCTTGCAGAAATAGACATTTATAAAGTTTCAGTTTTTAAAATCTTTATAAGAATTTGGATCTGAAGATGAATCTGATAATTTCCTCGGATTAGCTGCCATTTTCAATACTTTCTTTCATCTTTTGCAGCAATTTAAGTTTCAGTTAAGTGTTTTGTGATATCGAATATCGATTTATATTAAGTGACATTAGAACAATTATTAGAAAGTCATAAGGGTTTTATCCAATAATATATTTTACTTTATTCACTTCTTAAGGTATGGTGACAAATTTAAAGTGATTTTCTCAATTAAGCACATGTGTTTTTGGCTCTTTTAACAAAATGGCTGTATGGTTAGCTTTTAAATAATGATATTAAAACGAGGTCTAAAGTCATTGGCAATATCCAAATCATTCAGGGCATGCAGTATGGTATCAATGGAACAAAGGACAAAAACAATTGAACTAAAAAACAAAAAATGTTAACAAAAACAGTTATATATCAGTCAACATTACATAAAGGACCGTGTTCTTTTACAGAATGTTTTCAATAATTGGTTTAAACATTGTTGAATTCAGTTCACCATATCGATACCTATCCTTTATCCTGGGATTGTTTGAATTCATGAATGATTTTTCTTATGATAAATCTCCTGATAAATCCCATATCGCATCATTACCATAGCAGAATTTATCCATAGGATTGAAATTAAAAGTACATTAACTTTTAACATATTATATCAATGCTCAAGGAAATCTACAACCTTTATGACAGTGTATCGATTACTAGTTTTTAGTTTTTATGGTTCCTTTACTTTACTTAAATATCATTATATTCAACATTGACAGGGCATAATTGCCTGTGAGTAACAATACTTGATTCATATTATAGGTGGCTCTCTTGTTTGTAGAAATTATGACTTTGTTGATCAACCTCTTGATTACCCAAAGTGACAAGATTTCTCGTCACCGAAGAAATGAAGCTGAAACCTAGAGTGACAAGATTATCTTTCACAATAGTTTCACTAAAATTGCTCTAATTCGAACAATTTTAATTCCAGTTTTAAGAAAAATATTTTTAAATGTGTAGAAACTTGATCTCTGCTGCCTAATTTCACTAAATTGAGCATCACCCTTTTGTATGCAAGTAGTACCATGTCAAAAGCTGGCAAAATTGAAAAATTGTCTGGTTTCAAACCGATTTTAGAGTCTGGGATTCAAGAGCTTAAACTCATGTAGAAGCGCACTTTAGCTCCACTTCTGTTCAATGCATTGATTGCATGGACTCCAATTAGAATATACGACAATAGGCAATCTGAATGAAAACAACAGGCAACATTAATGGAAACCTAATTTTAACATTGTAAAAATGATAAAGATCATGGAAACTTAACAACAGCCACTTGGTGAAAAAATCCGAGAAATTTGCTTGTTGTCTATTGCTTCTGAAACCCCAGAGCATAGAGAACATAATAGATCACTCGGAAAAATTGTAAAATGCTGATTCACTATTGACCTTTTAAATTCTGCAGGCATGACAGACAACCCCATTAACTAATTGTGCCTATTTTGGAGTGTAATATCAAGGATATTTCTTGTGACAAATCATCAAAGGTTAACACTGCAAACTGAATATGAATCTTTCATGGTGCTATGTAAAAGGCAATATTCCTCGTCAGCTTCAGATATACTATATGTATATATAATATTATGTACCTTATTGTGAGTTCATTTCTTGTAATGCTTCATTGTAAACATTTTTCAAGACAAATTCTTCAAGATAAAAACTATGGGGTTACTAACAGAAATTGGGCTAGAATTAAGAATTCCGAAATGAATTCTTGTTTTGTAACCATGGATACAATGATATCATATTAAAAGAAAATGGACTTAAGTTCGGAATTCTTAACTTTATGAAGTTTCTGTTAACGAGCCCTCCCCCCAGAAATATTATTTGATTAATTAAATATTAAATACTCATGACTGGAATTTTTTCAAACATGCATCAGTTTAATTGTAAACAATATCTTCCAAATTTCTTTCCTGCTTCTGGGGTCTACTTTTGGGATGGTTGCATTTGATTTATGGAGGAGTATTTTTTTGATCTTGACAATGTGATATTTCATAATTCATAAATTTTAAATTTGCATCAAAACTGTGTGCTCCACCCCCCCCCCCCTCTTCTCAGATTTGTGAAAATAAGAATTCTGCACCCAATTGAAAAAATCCTGAGGACAATGTCTTATCCAAGATCCAAGACTTAGCTACATCAAAAGCAACCACATCAGAAATGGACCCCTGTTAAATATATTATAATCTCTTTATGTTGTAGCAAATATCTGACTGTTTATCAGAACAAATGTTGTAACTTTCTGAGCTTACAATGCATATAAAGTGCATAAAGGAACACGTATAAGGGTCATTCAATAAGTACTGATACAAATTCTCATATATTTCCAGTGTTCCATGTTTACTAAGGCATCAAGGTAAGATCCTCAATATTTATTGAACGATCCTCATATAATGTTTGCATACAAATACTCTGGACACATTTAAGCTACAAAAAGGTGTTCACTGATGTAGGTGTTTATTACTGAGGGTTTTCATTCAGAAGTCAATCAAGGTTCAGGTGTTCACTAAGACAGGGCTTACCCTCCTTGCATAGACTCCTTGATATAAGCTAATTGTAAACCTCATACCTGTATTACATTGTTTCTATTCAATATCGATTAGATTCACTCTTGTGAACTCCATCAATAATTTAATACTGTAGAAATGATCATGGGATTTATATCAATGACATACAGTGCAATGACCTCCCCAGCATTAAAGCAGATGGGCACTGCACCAGTTTTAGATTTTAATTACAGGTTTGCCCACCTGAGAATCCATTTGCACCCATTTGGAAATATAGGAAAAATCATGAAAAATAGGCATACCGGTAGGTGTAAATTGTTAAAGTGAGAATTCTGTATTCACTTGAGAAAAAATCCTGCGGAGAACACTGCTGTATATGTGATATGTACTTAGTGTTAAGAACAGAAATATGAATGTCTCTCTGGTTGTAATAAAACACCTCCCTACAACTTTTGTAGTAGTAAACCTCAGTCATGAACTTCTATAGTCATGTACTTAAATGTAGTCATAAACGAACATAGTCATTGATCTCTACTTAGCGATGGTGTCAAATTATGAACAGCTGTGGAAAAACTAAGTAAATTTCGTCATCGTTTGACCCCCCTCCCCTCATCTAGGAAAGTTTTAAAATGTTGATTTGTATTTCACTTGATTATTCAAAAAAATCACCCCTCCTCCCTAACGAAACTAACTTTGTTATTCTACAACTGTTGATAATTGGACATCATCCCTTAAAGTCATAGATTTTCACTTAAAGTTATGGATTTTCACTTAAAGTCATAGATTTTCACTTAAAGTCATAGATTTTCACTCAAAGTCATGGATTTTCACTTTAAGTCATTAATTTTCACTTAAAGTCATTAATTTTCACTTAAAGTCCTGGATATTCACTTTAATTCACTGTTTAATCCTATTTAAAATTCCTACACAGGATTATGTTTCTGAACTGAACTTCATCAAAAATAGAACTGTTATTAAAAAGATTTCAATAAATGCATTCTATGATCGAGGAATATCTGTTCATAAAATCAGAATATCAGGGAGTCATCAATTTCTATTAGAAAACATAAGTAAAATGAATGAAAATGAAACTCCATGATTCAGACACATTTTGTATGTTAGTTCATAGACTTATTGTTGTGAAACAATGCAAGGCTCATTAGTATTCTATTTATTATGTGTAGCATTAAATGCAATGGAATTATGTTATAAACCTCTTTTAATTGTTTGTATTTGGATGGCATTTTAATATATCCGATTATGTACAAAAAGTATGTATTTTGTTATGTTCTCTAGATTCTTAATGGTAATTTAGCAAAAACATTGACTGGCTTCCCCCGGGTGGAAAAATTACTTACTCCCTTATAAGGGTAATTAACTTTGTAATAGCCCTTTGAACTGCCAATAGATGGTGAAGAATTCAGTGGGTTTAATAGAGGAGTTTTTATTATATAGTTTTGAAAGCTTGTTAATTCTCATTTTGTGAGATTTTAAGAGGTTTGCATATTAAACATCTAATGGCTAAAAATTCAGTGCGTGTTATTGTAAATGTAAGTTGCTTCAAAAGGCTCACAATAACAAAGAAAATAAGATTTTCAGATGTGATCTAAATCTGGGGATCTAAAAAGACTTACAATTGCTGAACCTTTCGGGAGGGGGGGGGGAGTGTATGACTGACACATGTATTGGATGTTGTCAAATGTGGTGTTTAGGGTATTTCATGAATTTAATTTGTAAGCATACAATCATAAGGGGTGAGGATAAATTAGTTATATCTTGCGACAACAGCAAAACATTGACTTGTGGATAAACGGATAGAGTTACGGGAATAAAATCCCCTTTCAGATTATCTTATCCTCAAGTATAATAATCATGCTCTAATTCATACCGTGTTTACCAATTCAAATTTATGTTTACTAATAGACGTCATCATAATACGCATGGAAGCAGAATGAACCTGTATG